GGTGGGTGCGCACGTGCGCATGCCGTTTTTCAAACTGATCGGAACAGATACCTCACTTGATCGTCATCGTCGTCATCGTTTTTGGGGCCAGGTTAGTTAGTTTAGGCTCTCTCTCTCTCTCTCTCTCTCTCTCTGATAGGAACAGATACTACACTTGATCGTCCTTTTGGGGGGCAGGGTAGTTAGTTAGGTTCGGGTCTCTCTCTCTCTCTCACTCTCTCTCTCTCTCTGATCATAACAGATACTACACTTGATCGTCCTTTTGGGGGGCGGGGTAGTCAGTTAGGTTAGGGTCTCTCTCTCCCTCCCTCTCTCTCTCTCTGAGGGAAAGCAGAAGGGAAGACGGGCGGCAGAGGAGCGGAAAGTGGCAGAGATCGCAGGACACACGGAGTAGAAGCGGTGGAGAGCGGAGGAAGGGCAGCAGAGGAAGCAGGGAGAAGTACACTGACCTGTGTCTGCCGTCTTCGACCGGCGTTCAGGCATCGTTGATGCAGAACTCTGAACGGCCAACCACAAACCACGGCCAACCACAGGCGAGCGAGCGAGAGAGAGCCACAGCTTACAGCACCAACGCCGGTCCAACGGCCAACCACAGTCGCGCGGGCGCGGGCGCTCGAGAGAGAGAGAGAGAGAGAGAGAGAGAGAGAGAGAGAGAGAGAGAGAGAGAGAGAGAGAGAGAGCTTCACGACAGGGCGCTTCGGCGCCTTCACGACAACAGCAGAAGCTCGACAACACCGAATACAACGGACCGAGAGCGCTGCACGATAACGCCCATTCCAACGGGAAAGCTGGGTTTGACCGACGTCGTGAACTCCGGTAGTACCCCACGGCACTCGGCGCATCTATCTGAGCCGTCGGTCCGGACATACGGCCTGGATCTTGGCGCGGTCCTAAGATCTTAAGACCGCATCTATCCAGGCCGTCGGTCTGGTAGGACCCGACGACCCAGATGGCAGATTTGTTACATGGTTCGATCTGAGCCGTGGGCCGGTAGGACCGACGACAGCCCGGATTTCAGATTTGTCACGCTAGCGATTTTAATAGTGTAGGGACGAGTGAAGGGCACACTGAAAGCATTCCTTGTTCTTATTCTTCTTTTAACTCCCCCTTCACCGTGCCCCTCACGTACAAGGCTCGCCACATTGACCAAGTTGAATGCAAGCTGCCTGTGAAAGGATTCACGCTGCAGATACCCAGTCCCGGTCCCAAGATCCCAACAAGCCCCAAGCCCCAGGGCCAACCCGTAGGGTAGGCCGTAGGATCTAGAGGCCGAAGCGTCGTAGGTCAGTGTGTCGGTACCGAAACGTCGTAGGTCGGTAGGAGTCCGCCCGGTACCTGACAAGAAAAGTCAAGCCTCCAGTCCAGTCCAACAGTCCCAAGTCCAATTTTGCAGCATGTCCCAGGAAAGTCCAGAAGCTACTGGACCGACAAAATGTTTGCAGCACACAGGTGGCCGACCGGTGCCGGTCTGAAGCAGGCCAAGCCAGGCCAAGCCCAGTGAAGCCAAGTCCTATATTTAGCTGCTACAGTGCAGTGGCTCATCACTTGTTCAGTTGCAAGATGCGGAAGTGCTGCTTGTGCTTGTGCGTTAAGGCAACTTGGGCACTGTGCACCCGAAGAAGAAGAGGGCGCTTGAGAGATACTCTAGCTAGGCTAGCGGTAGAGCAGGAGGACGGCGGCCACAACCGCCAAGGTGTAAGCTACCTGAGTGGGTGTATCCAGGGTAACGATCCAGGGTAGAGAGAGAGTGAGGCAGGGCAAGTCAAGTCAGACAGAGAGAGAAGAGGGGAGAAGCCATAACCGCTATCTGGTTGAGATCCATCTTGCGTATGTGTCCGGCAGAGCCGCTGGAGATAAACATTCTTGTATATTGATAATAATATTGGAGACGGCATCTTATGCGTGGTTGAACTTGACGAGTACTTGGCTCATTCACCTGCATCCCCGTGTGCCATAACAGCCCACTTGTATGCTGTGAGAAAGATGCGGAGTATGGGAAATTGCATATGTAGATTCTATACCCACTTCAAAAAAAAAAAGGGAATTGCTTGTATGCCCAGGAGAGGAAACTACCCATCTTGCATCCATGCCCGGCAGCCCGTTTAACTTTCCCTTATGCCCTACTTTTCCCCTAAACCATCTATCTTATGGCTGTAACCAGTCCCCAGGATAAACCACATAGCTGATGCTGTTTTTCGGTTCATGCATGGGCGCGGATGACAATTTGTTCGACGTTCATTGCAGCTGTTCACACTTGATTATATTGTGACAATTTGTTCGATGTTCATTGCATGTGAGGTATTACACACAACAGTGATTCGCAAAACATAATTGGCAATTACAAACCCTATACTCAACACAAAAAGTGGTGATCCTGCTAGGAGACACAGAGAAATCACAGAGGGCAATTCTTAAAACCAGACCAATAACCCAAAGTCCTTGAAAAAGAAGCGAACAAAAACTCGCGACACAAAAACATTGAAATAACAGAACGTATTTGCTACTGAAATGTCACCAAACAAAACTTGTAACAAAACACGAAACACCTTTCATGCTTTGTGAGGCTGGATCTCACCTGCTGTATTTCATTGATCGTCTTTCCACTCCTCCCGACAATCGCCCCTACATGTTCGTCGGGGACTGCCACAGTAACTGTTGTAATTGGTGGATGCGTCTGGATCACTGGCCCCGCAATCTGCACCATAAGAGTCAGAACAATGAAAAAGCGCGTGTCATCCTCACATAAAACTACTGTAATGACAAACTGAAAGACCCGCTGTTTTCTGAGTTTTGCCACTGGACTGGGTGACTTGCTGAGATTCCCATAAACTGCTGCAATTTCCAAGTACATGTGTGTGCATGATTGCTGAGCTGAGTTACCGTGTGTTTGCCTGACTGCATGATTGCTTGGGTGTGTGTGTGACCCGTCAGGTACTTGTGTGCTGGCCCATGGGCCTGGTACTTACCTGTGGCCCTGCTGTTGCAAGGGTGCAGTGCAGAATTAGCAGTAGACTAAGCCTGCGTAGTTTCAAAAACACTCAAGTAGCAGATAGGTAGGCAAAAGAAGACAAAAACTTGGTAGCTTTTCATATGCTACTAGGGGACCTGTTGCGGCTACATCCGCAATAATGAAGGAAGGTACAGTAGCAAAGCGTAGTGGCCTAGATTCGTGCTATTTTCTTGATTCATTTAGACTGCTCCGTACGCGATCTGGGCTGAAATGGTGTAATTGAGAGAGCCTGGGGCTCCCCATCAAGTATAAGAGTGCCATTACTGTTAAGCAGATCTCTCCTCCCTTCCCCTTCCCCCCCTTCTGTAGACGATCTGGGCTGACATGGTGTACTCAAGAGAGCCTTGGGGGACATGTTTAATCAAATATAAGAGTGCCATTATTGCTAAGCAGATCTCTCCTCCCTTCCCCTTCCCACCCCCCACGAGAAAGATCTATACTCTCTCTCTCTCTCTCTCTCTCTCGCGCGCGCGCGCGCGGTGTCAGGTATGAAACCAATCGGTACAGATAATACACAACGGTGGTTTTACTTTTTTTTTTTTGGGGGGGG